GCCACAGTCACCAAGCTAATGCTCTAAGACAATTAAGTTGCAAGTAACTCCATGTTTATGCCCAACCTTAAACCACACTAAACGATGGAGATTTCCTGGTTCTTAAAGTTGGAAAGTCCAAACTTGAGGGTTGATTGGATTCCCAACAGTCATCAGAGGCCTGACTTCTTCCACTGTCAAGAGACTGTCTCAGGGCAGCAAGATGGCTGCAGCCAAGCCATCCACACACCACAACTCCAAGAGATAAAAAGCTCCTTTCTCAGAATACCCCGGCAAACATCTCTCCAGACTCAGGGGCCCTAACCACCCTTCCAACCGCCCTCCACTGTGCTCAGGACACAGCTTTCCTAGGTTTGAATCAACTGTGACTCAAGGCTGCTCATTTACTTTGTCTCAGCCTCATCATCTACAAAGTCAGGAATGATGATGCTTTCCCCCAAGGAGTTAAGTGAAAGAAACCAAAAGGGCTTAAGCTGGAGTCATGAGGAAACACAGCATGACATTTAGCCTGCTGGGCTCACAATGGATCAACTCCCATACTCATCTCCATTCCACTAATGCTGTAGGTTTGAGTTTGCATGCAGTAAATCCCAGTACCACTGCCCGTGGTTCATGAAGCCCTGCTGTCCTGAAGATACTCAGCCACCCCAGTACTCAGCCTCCAATTAATCGTTCTAATAATCCAGGTCAGGTGCAGTGAATCACGCCTGCAAACCCGGCACTTTGGGAGGTGGAGGCGAGAGGACTGCCTGAGCTCAGGGGTTTGAGACCAGCCTGGGCAACTTGGTGAGACCCTGTCTGTACAGTAAATCCAAAAATTCGCCAGGCATGGTGGTGCACGCCTGTGGCTTCAGCTACTTGGAAGGCCGATGTGGGAGGATTGCCTCAGCCCAGCAGGTAGAGGCTGCAGTGGCCGTGACTGTGTCACTGCACTCTGACCTGGACGACAAAGGGAGACTCCAATTCAAAATCATCATCATCGTCAACATCCAAAATACTGAAGTGGGGGAGGGCGGCCGACCCTACACAGCCCACCGTCTCTAAACCGCGTCCAGCAGCCTGAGACCACGGTCCTCTTAGGAGCAGCAAAAGGAGCCCGAGGGTCCTCAAAACGACACAGGCTAAACCGCTTCCTTTGAACTCGGCTACACCCGGGGGATCCTGGCTCCGCGACGAAGTGTGCGGCCTCGGAACAGCAGAGAGCGCCGAGAATCGTGTCCCAAGAAGCCAGTTATTTTTTTTAATTCGCACTTGGCAGTTTTTCAAGTCCCCGCGCGAAAGGGCTCCCGACTGTCTGGTGACAGTCAGCAAACACTCCCAGGGGCAGCTGGAAGGCGGCTGCACCCGAGGTTACAGAACAGACCAGACGCCCCCAGGCTGTGCCGGACCGCTAAGCGGGTCCTGGGGCCTCGACTCGCGGTCACGAGCTCGCTAGGGTTCTCTGCTTCCCCTGTGACCCCGAGGGTCAGCTCGGCTTCCGACCGCGAAGACCCCGCACAGGGACGGAGGCCCCTCGCCGTGCCACTGAACGCCCAAGACAGTCGGGCGGCAGTTGCCGTCCCCGTGATGGCATCAGGTCGTGAAGTCACGAGCCATTTAACTGCCGTCACTCCAACACAGGCAGATGGGGTGAGAGGGACACGCCCGGCTGGGCCACCGCTCTGCACACCTGCCCCACGCTTTCCAGTCAGCCGCGGAGGCAGCGCGGACGCCACCACTGGTTCCGGGGGCGGGACTTGAAAAGCTTCATCCAATCAGACACCCCACCTCACCAGCCAGGCCGCATTCGGTTGGACCAATGAAAACCCAAGCGCTAACTTGCCGGGGTCTTCTGGGAGCGTGCTCCTCCCGGAAGCCGCCACCTCCCTCCAGACACATCTGGGCGGAGCTAGCCTTCCGTTCCGCTGTCCCACTGACTATCCTAGCTGCCCGTCAGGGGGAGGCGGGAGCAGGCGGGGTCTGGGCGTTTGCTTATGCGAGGCGCCGGGTTGGTTGCGCGCGGGAACTCGTGGAACTGCGCTTAGGCGACCACCGGCTCTGGGGCCCTGGCGACCCGGGCGGAGCCGCCGAGAGGAAGAGGAGGGGAGGAAGG